TTTTCTTTATTATTATTGTCATTGTTACGTCTTAAATTTACAGCATTTATAAGAGACAGCATTGAATATGTATGGTGAAGGAATATCTATTATACTGATGACAAATGAAATTAATACTAGTCTTGACACGAGTCCTTGTTCAAGGAGCAGTGAGAGCATCCATCTTCCCTGCATGCTGTAGCTATTCCTGTTCTTCCTGTTGTCAAGTTCTTATAATTATCATTGCATACTTATACCATTGTTTTTTTAAAAATAATATATTTATTACATACTTGATAAAAGAGTAATATGTAAGAGAAATTTCATAGGGGTAGGAACGGGGGGGGCAGGAGGGGCTTAAGCCCCCCCAACTTTCATTGAAGGGGGGCTTAGCCCCTCCAACTTTAAGTGATGTACCGTATAAGTGGTTTTTTTCGAGGGAATTATATTTTGCGAAATCTGCTAAAATTCCAATTCGCAGATTTTATTTTTGTGAATTCTACCACGTGTGCCATGCAGGTACCGTATTAAATTGATTTTCGCGGATTTTATTTTTGCAAATCAGGAGGGAATCTGCGAAATTCGCGAAATTTGCAACCCTAAAAAAACCACTTATACAGTACATGTATTACTATTATCAACACTATAGACTTTAGTTTAGGTAATCCTTATATGTGTGCATATTGTGTGATGATTCGTTTCATAAAACATTTAATACAGTCTAGCTTAACTTCTAAGAACACGCACTCTTATTACTTTTTTCAGAAATACACAAGGTTCTACTTCTTTATTTAACAACTCTGTTAACATCAGCTTCAGCTGAGCATAGATTTTTGACGTTAAGGAGATTAAAAAACTACTTGTACTCCACAATGTCACAAGAGCATCTTAATCATGTAGTTATTTTGCATACACACAAAGAATTTACAGATGATTTACACATCGAGGACATTGCAAAGGAATTTGTTACATACTTACATTTAATGAGCATAGACGCCAATATTTTGGACAATATTAATTCTGTACATGCCATGTATTAATGATCCATTGTTAGATCATGCTCCTATGATTGTAAATAAATAATACCTTAGCCCCCCCAACTTTTAGTTTGTTCCTATCCCTATGAAGAGAATTATCTTTTCTTAGCTGGAAACCTCCACTATATGTATTGCAGTTAATTCCAAGCATAGCTAGGTAAAGAAATTGCTTGTTTATTCCAGAGCTGCTGATCTGCTAGATCCATAGATATTAGAGTAAATGAAAGGGATTGGAAACTACCGTTCCCGCCCGGTGATGCAGTTTTCGTCACCCCTGGTTACTTGGTTAGCAACGTCCATGTTTAACTGCATCCCCATCTCCTCCATAGTAGTTGCTGTGCAGAAAGGATCTCGAAGGAATATTGTGTGACTATTAGATAGTGCTTGCTTATGATATACCTTCTGTTCCACATAGAAAGTTTACGGCTACCTGTAGCTGGATTTTTGTTTCACTAGAGCTATTTTGCGACCAGTTACGGGTACAGAAAGTCGGCTTCTTTTTTGACACTTTTTCGCCTCTATAGCTGTCATGCTTTTGCTATTCTAGTGTTGCCTCATATCATTCCATAGGTAATTGAAAGTTCTTTTATATTCTGACAAGCTTTTTAGAGTTTAGCTACAAGTGTCTTCATTAGAGGGAGAAAACAGCAACTTTATGGGCAAAAGTGCTATAACACTCAAAATATTAATTTAAATATACCAAATTAATAATAATTAACAGTACAAAACATTGAACTCCTTGATAGTTGAGTTTCTTTTTCATCGAAGCACTCTTCTTGGAGTCATTCTATTTTTAATGGAAAAAATCAAGAATTTTGTGGTCAAAAAGCAACAAACCGCCTAGTCAGCAATTTTTTTGCTTAGCAACAATACAATCAAATGGCATTATTTCTGCGCCCACGTGGAAGTTTCCAATCCCTTTCATTTACTCTAATATCTATGCTAGATCTTTGAGCATGCGCGACTACACCCAAATTTTGGAGCACATTAATTAACAAAATGGTGGCATGCAGCTAAGATGGGCCCAATCCAGCAGTGACAGCATAACTTCTTTCTTTGTTGGAGAATTGTTCTAGAGAATAGGGACCTGCGCATACGTTATTGGAGTAGAATGGTGTAAGAATTATTTTTCTAGCACCAAGCAAAGTTGAGATACAGAGCGACAACTGTATTGACAGGACTTGATGATGAAGATGGAGATGAAAGAAGGTGGCTGAACAAAATGGCCGTTTTCTAGATTTTTGACTTTCCTCGTAGACAAAGTTTGGAGCCACACTAGTGGTACTAATGGAGTCCTCTGGTTAAGATATGGTCTACTATAAAGTCTGGTAAGCGTAGGAGCTCGTTTTCCCGGTATAGCAAGGCTGCAAAAGTTGTGGCAGCTATTTTGAAGTGGGGTGAATCATACTTAGTAATGCTACTGCATTGCTAATACTTAGTGGGTGTATCAAAAGTTTTTGTATTACTGTGGTTTAGTTGTTGTCACACTGTGGTTGTAGTTAGCTTCAATACATGAGACTGAATTATTGGTTAATAAATGATCATTTTTTTAATGTCAAAATTGTGTTTATGAAGTTTAATTGTGCAATTGCTGAGGGAAAATTTAGTGAACATAGCCGAGTTCACTTTAGGGCAATTTTTGCTTTCGTCATTGTTTGCATCATCATCATTTTTTACATCAGCATCACATAGCAGTCGAGATGTGTTCAGCAACTGTTCATCCATACTTTTTTATACACTCTTAAAGCAGTTCATGATCATTGACCAGACCTCTCCTGAATCAATACCTGTGGTAAACTTTTCTTAAATGTTGTCATTACACCATATGATCGGAGACTATGGTTTGTTTTATTGCCCTCAATAGTCCTAGCAGCACACACTTGTCCATAACGATTGATGATAACTTACCGTAAATGTTCAAATAAAAGCCCGGGCGTTTATTTCTTTCAGGAGAAAAAAATTACGTAAAATAAAAAAAGAAAAAGTAAAACTGAGATTCGAACCCGGACCTCCAAGTTTACGGCAATCAGCTTAACAAGTTAGGCCATTTGGGACACTTTGAAGATTGTGGTACTTATATTGACTAAAATATGCGTATCTATACTTGAAGATTCTTAGTACCAGGTGTTTATTCAAGCCCGGCCTTTATTTGAACATTTACGGTATTTTTTCCATTGGAACACAAGTAAACCAGGCTTTCCTTCCATTATCCTTAATGATGGCATACATGAAAGTTATCTTTATCTATAGCTTCTCTAGGAACCTTGTCAAAGTGTTGCTCCAGTATATAAACATTATCTGGAGAACCTGCCTCCGGAACCTCAAAGTGACAGTGACACACAACTTTGTTATCAAGATGCAATTGACTCATTCCTCCACTGTGATTTTTTGACCCATGTTCTTTCTACAATTATGTAACATGCTCTTTTTTGACATCAGCTACTGCAGTTTTATTAGTAAATTAAGAAAAACAAAGGAGACAATATTTATTACCTCCTCTCAAACGCAGATACTTGCCTCTATAGCAAAAACATAATTATATAATCCTTCATGAGTAGGCAAATTGAGTACATACATTAATTCCCAAAGCTTTGCTTCATGTTCATCAGTAAGAGCATTTGCGTGCTCTGACTTTGTACCATTACCTTGTTGATGAAGTGTACCAAATTTGTGATTACAAACCTTATGAAGTAAATCAAAACAACTCTCACTAAAAGTATTTTATGATGAAGAATGACCTTTTTGTTGCCTCATTACACGTTGATGACCAGGAATCATTAACTTAATTCACTTGGGAGTATATTCATTGCCGTCCTCTTTGCGCGTTTCCGTAACAAATAAAGGCAAGACTATACAGAGCCAATTGTGATTATCAGCTAGCAACATGCATGTTGAGCAGTTGGGGATTTTGTTGATATGAGATTTAATTTTTTGTCTTTCTGTGTACCACTGGGAGAATTTATTGAGTACCCACTTATTGTTTGAAGCAGTAATTTTCACTGTATTCCCCTTTGTGGCTTTGATTAGCTCTAAATGTTCAATAAGAAAGCTAAATCTATCATTATTGTGTTACATTGAAGCTTCCGCTCTGGTTCTTCCTGTGGTTCCTGCAGCTCCAAGCTTTCTTGCTGACTTGTTTATGTCATGTGATACTTTCTGTGCATGTGTAGCCTATGTTGGACTTGCTCCTTTGATATGCCCACTAAGTATTATACAATTATGCTGATATGACCCCTGCTACAGGATACATTGCATTTATATGACCTTGGCTTTGGGCTTGGTCATGCAAATGCTAGTGGGGGAGTGTTATAACATTTACATGTAACACTCTCAGCCATATGTATAAGTATGCATACTGCAAATGATAACACTAACAATAAAATATTAAACGAGCATGTGCAAAATATAACCACTGCTCTACGTTACGCGATGATTGCTACAGCACCGAGCATGCACATGGGTGTAAAGGGGTGTGGGCTGCCCAGTCAATTAAAAATGGTGGTAAAAATGGGCTATAATTCCAGCCTCTTCCTTTTACTGTTTCTATGTTAATACTCTTTCTATGTCAATTAACTGACATTATCAAGATCTTTTTCACATGTGTAGTCGCCATTTTGATATTTGCTTTCCATTTTTGGGCAGACAACCAACCTTTTATTCTGCGCATGCTTGTTCAAGACAGACAGTAATACTTAGGATAGATTGATAATTAAGTTCACAAGACTCTAATATTATTTCTGACAATACTTTAGTCAACCATTTAAGAAATGTAACTTTTTTGTTTACTTTTATATGCATGTACATTGTAATACATGTACTGTAAATTGGGTTATTTTCAAGGGTTATAAATAAAATACAGAATGAAAAGAAAATATAGGTGTTGGAAAATATATTAGCAATTCTAAATTTAGTATGCTATGTTGCTATATGAAAATTACTATCACTTGAAATATACCAGATTTACTGTACATATGATTTCTGCAGAACAAGAACTACAAATTTTTACAGAAGAAAAAATTGTTGATGCTATAGTTGGGGAAAATGCTACTTTATTATGCAAGTTAGAATGTTGTATTGGTGCTCAATTAAGCTGGAGTGGATACAATAATAGAGATTTGCCTTCTAATGCACAAGTAAAATTAATTTATATTGAATATTTTTGCTGCTTTAGGAGCAGATGTGGCTGACTTAAAATTTTTGTGATTTATAGGTGCGTTCAAGAAATAATGGTTATATGCTTGAGTTACATTTTAATAATGTGTCTGTGGAAAATTGTAATCTTTATGTTTGTGAAGGAAGATACAAAGGAATGAGACAGTATGTTAGTGCTCATCTTATTGTAAAAGGTACAATAGTTGTATACTTTAGAGATACTTTTAATGACGACTACCAAATATTGAGGTGTTAACTGTCAGTAAATTTTGTGGGCACTAGTAATTTTGATAAGTAAAATTATTTTTAGGGGCATATCCAAATTAGCAATCAATAGTACTCGTAATGAAAGAGTTTTGAGATTTTGTAGCATGTATTAACCACAGTCTGCAGTTAAGAAATAATTTCTATAATGCTGTCTTGGTTGCGTGATACAATAAACATGTACTGTATTTGCTTGAATAAATGCCCTGCTCAAATTAATGCCAATGACTAATCTTTTCCAATTATAGTGCCCTTGCATTTACATTTTCTTGAAAAGCTTAGTCGTTTAGGTACTGTTTGGAGGACCTGTTACTTTCATGTTTGTATCTACTTTTGATTTTTTAAATTTTCCATCACATAATTTTGTTCCATTAAAAAAATAAATGCCTGTGCTTTTAATCGAGCAAGTATAATACAAGTACATGTTTCCTCTAATTTGTATTTCTGAGATTTTCTATTTTGTGAGATATTTAAATAACCATATTTTTTATTCCTATTTGCAGATGCTTTTACTATTAAAACTAACACAGAACCATCAGTGTTACTGTACAATGGTCATGCATTGTATTATATACTATGTGAAGCTAGTGACCCTGTTCAATTCTGGTCTTGGTCATTTAATGAAACATTCAATTTAACCCATTTCAGTGTTCTCAACAATTCGAGGTCAATACTAATTTTGGATAATTTGACATTATCTGAGACTGGATTTTACACTTGTCAAGCTCTGTCGTTTGATGGGAGAATTGCTCATTTTTCAACATTTATTCAAGTTTGTAAGTACTTTTGCTAATAATAATAAACTGATATATACTGATTTACATGTACATATGTACATGTATTTTGTTATTTTGTACTTTTTGAGAAGCATGGTAAATGTAATATATGCGTTAATTTTTATTCTTAGTACCTGATTAGCTGTTTCTAACTTAAATAACTTGAGTTTCAGTTAGGAAACTAGTATTAACTATTGCGATGTAACTTTTGATTAATGATTTTTAACTTTGTTTTATAAGCAAAACCAATAATTTAAATGGTTAATTATGAATTTGTTTTTGTCGGCGATTGTATTCTATCATGTTTTGTTGGAAGTATTGATTTAAAGGTATCAACTTACTTTAAATTTAGTCTGCATAAAAGCGATGTAATTAAATGACATTATGTTTTCAGCTTGAGATATGGTAAAGCTGATTTTTACAATACTGATTATAAAAGGAGTCTTTGTCAAGATCTCCTATGTTTTGATAAATTTGTGATCATCAAGGTTAAGTTGTAAACATGCATGTTTCCTTCAGATTACGTATGTGTATCTATTTGCAATAATTGAATAAATTAATGTTTTTTTTTAAATTTTTACATCCTGTTTTGTAGTGTGCAATGATACTAGTGGTGTATGTCTGTCATCAACCACAGCTATTACTAGTAGTACTTCCTCTGTTTCCTTTACTGTTTCAATGTCAACATTGACTGAAATTAGTACTGTTATGGCATCGTCAGCAGACAGCATTGTTCCATCACCTACTATAACTTTATCATCAGATTCAACATACTCAATATCTAGTTTACTCACGGGTACTGAAAAGTCATCTTTTTCAAGCATGGCCTTTTCTTCCTTTAATTCATTATCAACGGCAGATTTTACATCAGGTATGCAGTCATTGTCAAGTAATGTCATGTATTATTACTTTGTAATGTATTTTTATGGTTTAGCATCTCCATCTCCAACACTTCCACCACTTATTGTGAACATTAATCCAGCAAGTGAAGTTATTTATATAATGCCTGGTGAATCTCTTAATATAAGTTGCATTACCAATGTAGCAACTGTTAAACAATGGTTGTATCCTGATTCGTCTAATGTTGTTGTGACTATGATAGATTCATTAGTTCAGCAATTACAAATAAGCGACTTTTCTGTTGCTGATAATGAGGGAGAATACAGCTGTATTGCTACCAGAAATGGAATTAGTGTTTCAAAAAATTTTACTATTACAGGTCAGTTATTATTGCATATGATAATTTGTACTAGTAAAGCATGTTGCCTGATCCAATATAGCCATCCCTTTTTTATCAAAATTCTCTTTAATTTGTTGTGAAGGTTATTATATTTTTGGCAGCATTGTGATAGTTAAGCAAAAAGTGAAATTAATAATGGTAACGTTTATTGCACAATGAGTGTATTTAAAATTAGTTCAGAAGGAGGAAGAGGGAAGGAGAAAAATTTATAGGAAAAAGGAAAAAGTACATTAACTAATAATGCTTACAGCAATGATACAATAATGTGATAATGACTGAAAACCTGAGTTAATTGTAGTTGAGAGAAAGATACAGTAGTAACTGAGGTAGCTCAAGTACACTTTAGTTGTATAGAATGATAAAGCCCACCATCCACTATTCAACTTTTTTGAAAGCAACTTTGTGGTTACTTTGATCTTAGGGCAACTCTGTTGCCTGAAATAGAAGTCAGTTCTATTTCAGGCAACAGAGTTAACAGCACATAAAAGTAACCACAAAGTTTCTTTCAGCAAAGTTGAATAGTGGATGGTGGGCTTTAGATTGAGTTGCAAATTAAAGACAGTTGATGAGAATAGTGAGAACTGAGAACGAGAGGGATAATATAAACTTTCCAGCCTTGTAGTAACCTTACCCACATTAGGCCAAAGAGCACATTATAGACTTATACTGGTTCTCTAATTAGTGTCATTTTACTCAACAATAACTCAAACTGAAACCTATTATAATCTTGCCACGCCCCTTTGCTACTTGCAGAGAAAGGGTCTGGAGACACTCATGGTAAAAATGTATGCTTCATGCAGAGAAATCCACGTCCCAATCAGATTGCTTGAACCACGTGTAGGGCAAGTAGTCATGTGACTGAAGAGCTCTTTTTAAGACAAAAGAAGAAGAATGAGGACCAAATAAAGGATGAAAGGAGCCTGTAACACTCCCTGGACTTCTTTCTCAAAGTTTAAGAGCAGCATTATTATGCTGCTTACTACAACGATGACATGGCACTTATGACGTAATAATAATGTCACGTGTTTACAATAAAACATCATCAATAAAAAGTAAATATTATGGCGCTCTGTAAAGAGCTGCCGGTCTCAAATCTGCAAGAGATGTCCAAGAGGCTTTATTCTTGTTTTCTTTTAGCTGCAAAGCATCTCTTTCAGCTGTTTTGACTGATCTGGTCTTCTCTGTCACATGATGTAGAGCCAACCACATGGTTTTCTTTTCACTCATTTTTACCGTGAGTTTCGTCTCCAGACCCTTCCTCCGCAGGTAGCGAAGGGGCGGGGCGACACTACCTATTTTAGTGAGCTGTTTTCCTTTTCTGAAACTACAACTAAAATTCAAATTCCTCAGTGCTTACAACAGTAACTAAAACTACTATTAATAAACTATAACTGAAACTAAAACTTTAATTTTGTTAGCTACATTACTTAAAACTATAACTAAAATTGCACACTTGAAACTAATTAAACTTATTCAGTATAATGAAGAAGAGTGACCACTAATACCAATTACTGTACAGGTAGTCAGGTCATTCAGTTTATTTATTGGGTCTTAATTTTGATGGTTTAATTGTTTTTACACTAATGGAAAGATTTTTGTTGGATCAAACTATAGATAAGACTAAAACTAGAAGCACTGGAACAATAAAACTGAAACTAAAACTAAAATGCTATTTTGAAGTACCTTTGCTTAACTAAAGCTAAAACTAAAACTTAAGATTAAAGAAATACATGTATGAAAGTAAAACTAAAACTTTAGTTATTGTACCATACTAAAATAACACTATTCCCTGCTAATGCTCCTAGACAAGTCTTAGACAGTTCTCATGCTGTGAGAAAGTTCAAAACTTTGTCAGCCCATGTGTAAACTACCATAAAGCAGTTTGATTTTGTGGAGCCAAACTTTTGCTTTTTTTGCAGATTGACCTGGAACTGGGAAAATTTTGCTTTGACAATTTTAATAAACCACGCTTAATAACTTTATTAATTTTAATTAATGATTATTTAACACATGTGATAATGGCGCTATTGAAGTATTTTCTGTGAAAGAGAAGCAGCAGAATCAATTTCAGTCAGATAACAGTATCCAGCTTTCTAGCCCTTACTGGTTCCTTTGTCTTAAGAGATTCCTTCCTTGTCACTAGTTGCTGCTAATGCTGAGGTATCAAAAGTATTAAATGTTGATGAAGCGATCAATAAGAGAGTAGACTTTATGAAATTAAGCTTAAGAAAAATGGCAGAGTTTGGTCGAAAAGCTGCCTTGGAAAGAATTGCTTTTACAATCAGAAACCTTGCTAAAAGGAACCCTAATTTGAAAGAGAGTACTGTTTGCACTTGGAAAAATATCTATTTGCCACAACTAAAGTGTTGTAGGACATGTAAAGAGAGTCTGACCATCAGTAAGTTACCTGAAAAAAAGATGAGGCAACTACTTATAGGCAATCAGCTAGAGTTTGAAGTTATGTTACCTGGAGGATTTACATAGAAATAGAGCTGTTGTCAATACAGTTATAGCTGTTTCTTGTGCCAGAGGCATTGTTTAGAAGCGAATCCTGATTATCTGGCTTCTAATGGTGGTCATATTGTGCTTACAAATTACTGGGGATAACACCTTCTCAGATGAGTGGAATTTGTGAAACGGATGGCTACAACCAAAGCAAAGGTAAAGTTGAATAACTTTGAAGAGGTTAAAACACAGTTTCTTCTTGATGTCAAAGCTGCGGTGGAATTTTATGACATGCCTAGTAGTCCTTTCATAAACTGTAATCAGACTGGTATTCACTACCAGTTGGGTCTTGGACCATGGAAACGGAAGGGTCCAGAAGAGTTGAAATTGCTGCTGTTGAGTATATTATGAAGCGTCAGATTACTGCCACGTTTGCTGCTGCGTTAGTTGGAGAGTTCTTACCTCCTCAGTTGATATATAAAGGGACTATTAATTGTTGTCTTCCAACTATTGACTTTTGTACGTAATTGGCATGTTACTTGTAACAGTAATCATTGGGCAAATGAGACCACCATGATTTACTATTATTCTCAAGATTGTAATGTCATACTTAAGTGTAAAACAAGAAGAATTAAAACTCCCTTCTAATTATTCTGCACTTGCCATGTTTGATAAAGTCACTGCACAGGGAATAGACAGAGTTTTACAATTACTTTGAGATAATAAGTTATAACGTCCACATTGTTATGATTCCTGCAAATACAACAAATAGACTACAGCCGTTAGATATGAGCCTAAATAAACCTGTGAAGGATTTTTTGAGAAATGAATTTTAAGAGTGGTACGCTGAGCAAGTATGTCACAACTTTAAGGTGACAAAGCAGTATAACCAGTAGATCTGAAGCTCAGCGTAATGAAGCCTCTAGGTGCAAAGTGGATGATGAAACTTGACAATTATTTTCGTGCTGAACCTCACATCCTTGTTAATGGATTCAGAGCGGCTTGAATTCAAGATATAATTATGGCATAATTATTAAGTTTATTGTTATACATTAATTTATTAATGTTTAGTGTTAACTACTATTGGTTTAAATTTAATGATGACATAATTTTAGAGTGAATGAAGTAATGTGTTTATTTTTAAAGCATTGAGTTAATTAGATTATCAGAGTGCCTGATCAAGTTCTATTCCACTGGGACTAAAACCATTTGAAATGGCTAAAGCATTGCAATGGCAAACAGACAGTAATCTCTCATGCATTATTGCTTTGTACTCTTCATTATTTGAATATTCTGTGAAATGAAGAGATTTAATATGACATCTTGAGTGCTGTCGTGCAGACGTGCACAGTATTGTAAAGTGAATCATAAACTGCTACAGTATTACGGTCTTATACAGTTGATCTAACAATCAAGTGATTACCACCAACAAAGAAAATCTGGATATCTTTTCTGGTTTGTTATCTAGCTTTTTACACTTATACAATGGTGTCATTGGTCCTTTAGGTAAGGAAATTGATGCTTTGATGCTTATTTAGATTTGGAACAAACTCAATGTAATCATTCTTCAACTCTTTTCCCTCCTCTATTGCTCAATCGTAAGTTTTCACTGTCTTGCTTTTTTGCTGGTGGTGCCACCTTTTGATCATTACTATCTTGCTTTGCCAAAGAATGCACTAGATTTTGTTAGTGCTCTCGTTATTGTCTGTTGTGGTTTTGATATCTTCATCCTTCTTAGGCAGAAGTTTGTCAGCTGTTATCATGATCGTTCTACTTTTTTGACCAGTTCATCTCCTGTAAAGTTCACTAAGCATGGAATTTCCACGCCACCTTAAGGCAAATCTGCTAAGTAATGTCTTTGACCAACTGTTTCACATGTTATATTGCCTCCTTTGCGAATAAATATGGAACAAATGAAAGGTATCTTCCTTAGCACATGCCCTACAATAATGGATTCTTTTCATAACAGCGACTGCAAACTGATCAGGAGACTTAATTAGTTCTCTTATATAAGAAAGCTCTTCTCCTATTATTAGTATCCAAATGCTATTATAAACGTGGAGACCTCGACTCATGGAATCTTTGTTATACGAAAATAGTCTTGAACCAGGACTCCTTCTTGAACTAGCACTAGAAGAAATAATGTTTCACGAGTGTTTCTGGTGGGCATGGCAATGTGAATGGGCCGAAAATTAATGAATGGCACGTGATTATTGCATTACCGCAAAAATTTTTCCATGGAAATTTGATTTTTGTCAATCCACGACATTTTAGCCCTGTAAAATTAAAGTGCTCTACGGTATCATTTAGTTTGCTACAGCCAAATCCATTACACAGATGGTGTGGATGTGTGGTTGCTATTGCTTCTTAGTTTATTTTTTCTTTCATACATCTGTATCAGAGGAAATGCAAGTGTGGGCATACAAAAATGTATATGTAAAATTGTCTTATGTTGTTAAAAACAATTACAGAAAGGGCTTGGTAGCTTCTCTCCCAAATTGTGAACAACAGCTGATGGAAATGCCATATGGAAGTACTGCGATAATCTATTTTATTGACAGTTAGAGGGTAATCAACTAATAAGAAAAAATTACTACTTCTTCTGTAGCCTTTATCAGTATAGTTTTCAGGTCCTTGCCATTATAAAGGCCCCCATACACTAGGCAACATGTTGCTTGCCATATTTGTTGTTACTTTGGTTATGTAAGCAACATGTTACCGGAATTAGACGACTGTTCTATTTCTGGCTACATGTTGCTTACAAGATCAAAGTCACCACTAGTGTTGCAAGCAACATGTTGCCTATTGTGTTGGGGCCTTAACAAGTGTCACATCAGTCAATTTCAGCTAAAAATATATTTTTAACTGTTTCACAGATACTTGATTTCATGTGCATGGCATTGAGGTACATGTCTGCTTTGCTCTTTCAACTGTAAGTATCTTTCAGCAGAATTGCTGCAAAATGTTAGCAAACTTTACCACACCTTTATATTATTGAGCTTAATGCAAATGATAGACTCACCACTACTTACGTGGCCATGCAAGGACAATGACCAAATTTTATTGTACTATTTATTTCATACAGGGTTAAACATTTTTCATTAAGTGTGAAAATAAAGGTTTAAAACTTGGATTATAAATTGAAAAAAATAAACCCTATATTCTTTAAAATCTAAAAAACGAAACTTTAACAATTAATTTATGAAGTGGATTTTGTTATTGACTTTTACTTTTGACTTTATTGCGCTACTTTTGTATTGGTGCTAATTAAAAACCTGTAGGTATTAAGTTTGTCCTTAATCTGCATATATTCAGTGCTGTTGTATTAATGTTAAAGTTAAATTTATAATACCATTGTGTAATGTCTGTATCATTTTTTTAGATGGCACATTAATAGTACATGTGGAGTTTGAAAGTCAATCACTAGATCCAGGAAGTGATCTTAATGTCTCTTGTACCACTACAGTTCCAGTTACAGTCTTAGAATGGAAGTATCTGAGGAATGAAAACGAACTTCCTAGCAATGTCAGATCAGTTATGATTAATAGCAGAACAGCTGTTTTGGTAATTGATGGTTTTATTAGTGGAACAAATAATGGTGCATATCGTTGTGAAGCGATAGTTAACGAAGGATCACATCCAGTTTCAAATCAAGTTCAAATCAATTCAAAAGGTAGCATTTTATTGTTAAATGTGGCATGCAAGTTACAGCAATTAAGATGAATGTTTAAATTGCAAAACTTTGTATATTTTTTGAAGTATTCTTTATATGATTGCTGGCATTGTTTTATCTGCTCAATAAACATTTTCCTCCTGCCTTGCACATATAGTGTGTTTGGTTTTGTTGGTGATGTATTTTTGATGTGTCACAAGTTGTATTTGCTTAAGAAAATCTGTTTTATTAATTTTAGAAATTTGTGAATGATATGCCATTATGCTATGAACACTACTATTTGTTGAGGGATCTAAGTTAATCCATCTACTTGTACGTGTAACTGTAACTACGTGTAAGTATGATTAGTCAAAGAGTTTGTGTTTCTTTATAAAGGAGACAAGATTCTTAGCAAATAAATCACAAATAAATTCATTTGGTATTGATCCATCTAATTTTAACAAATAATACATCATTACTAAATTGAAGTGAATTGCATTAACCATTATAATTAACAATCTGCTATAGTGCACCATAAAGCCTTTCATCGTTTGTACAATAATGTACAAATGGCCTCTATATTTTATGTTTCCGGCATCTATATGCATGTATTTATTTTGTTATGTTATAAGGTGACAGAAATGTTCAATTAGTAGAGAGTTGTACCAATTTCTAATAATATTGATTGGCTTTCACTGATATGCCTTTTTATTGAATTTGAATGAGTTAGTTTTATACCTACTATAACTCAGTTGCAGATCTGTGTGGGTCATGGGCCAATGCCCTCCCAAACATGGTCCTGAATTTATGTAAATTTATTTTTACCTTTGTAAACTGCAGTACTTGATTATGTACATAATCTTTAAACTGAAAAGGTGCTCATTTTTGTAGGCTTCTAGTCTTTATTTACTTTGGCTTCCCTTGAATGTCTGCCATAAATTTGTACAGTCTTATTTGACCACACCCCTACATCCCCTAATTATCTGTCCTATTTTATGATTACCCCCAATAAGTGAATCCTATATTCGAAGTTATGAATAAGTAGTGTAGAATTACATTCATATCAGCTATATGATTTAGAATGTCAAAAGAAGGTGAATGTACATAATGATAGCAAACAAAAATTTTTCATCAATAATGAATATAATTAGAGTAAAAAAAAGAACCACAATACGGCAGGAAGAATTGTATGACAATAAAAACAAAATTTTGAAAAATGGAATAAAATAGAAATACTTGTAAGTCAGCTACTTGTGACTGTCTGTTTTTGAGAGACTCCTTGCACTTTCATTTAGATTTTAAAAAGTTACCTTTTTTTTATCAGTATTTACTTCTGTATTGGCAGTTTTATTACTGCAATAGATATGGCAAAAGAAGAGAAAGGCTTTGGAATATGTAATTTTTATTTGAAACTGAAGTGTCATTAAATGCACCGCACTATGTTACCAAGTTATTACCACTGACCAGCTTTTACAAGTTAATAAAAACAACATTATGCACCTTCACATCTTACATTACATCACAAGTGTCTAGAAGAATCAATTTAAACTATATAATAATATTAAGATGACAATGTTATGTTTTGGTAATCTTTCAGATGGTAATTTTTCTATAAAGTTTTATTGTACAGTGTGACAGTTAAGGATGCTATAAGGGTGTCACATGGGAGACAACTGTGGTTTGTACAAAGTTCTGGCCAGGTAGTGACAACCTTGTGACAAAAAATTGTAATAAGGCTGCCAAAATTATGCTGCAACCTTGGTGTTTTTGTATGGAGCTTGAAGCCTTAAAAGCTTCATTATAGTTTTAAACCTTGCCTCTGTTTATACTATGATCGTTTGAGTTCACACCATTGTTTAAACTTGTCCTATTAGACAATCTCTGAGTAAACTTTGACCACATTAAGTATTATTAATGAAGCTTTCAATGTGTATTTCTTCCTTGGATTGGCTACAATACCAATTATATAGTATTTTGCTAAATAAATTTTTGCAGATAATAGAATGTGGTGAAAGAAATTTGCATTTTAAAAAGATGTTCAAATTTGCAAAATTTTTTCGCCACAAAATTTTTAGGCTATTTGGTGAGCACATCATTTTGCAGCATCTGCGGCAAGTAATTGCATTGGAGATGCTGCATTTGATTTTATAAGTTGTTATATTTAATACTTGACTGCTATTCCGAACTGTGAATAAATGCCTGATCTTTTGTAGCTTAAATAATAAGTCTAATTTTAATAAGGATATTAATGACTTGCTAGACAATAGTAAGACATATTAGGGGAGTGAGCCAAATGAAGCAAAGCAATTTAGATACAATGTTGATGCATTGCTTATTATGCTTGATTGTGCAATGGAAGTTTTAATTCTTTATTACATTAGTCTTTGTAGCAATTCAAGTTACCTTACTTATGGTATATAAAAGTAATCATTAAAGATGGTTATAAAGAGTCAATACACAAGCAATGAATGACATTCTTTTGATCATAATCATTTGTATCAGTAAAGAAAATAGCAAATCTTGTTTCTTAACCTTCCTTGCTGGATCTGGACTCTAGTGAGCTGACTTCTGTGCCTTTTATGCATAAGTATATCTTGTTTTTGAACCACTATTTAGTTTCACTCAGACCACACTCATTTCAATGACTTAATAAATTGTGATGTCTTATGCATGATTGTTTATGTAAATAGAATCTAACAAGACAGCTGTTTCGGCATCATCATAATAGGTTCAAGTTACAATTTAGCTATCTTGATTTGATAGTGGTTATAATTGGGGCAGAACATGCGCTATTGAAAACAATGAACTACAGTCTTTATCTCTGTCATACTACATAATAGAGATGAAGACGATAATTCTTCGCTTGTAACAGTGCTTTCATGCAAGAGGAACTGTAGCAAGTCCATGCTCTGTACTTTTTTGTTATGTGATCATTCTTATATGTTAGTGTTACTCATTTATTTTTGCAGAGTACAGTCCAATGTTAGGTGTTTTACTTAAGCAGTGTAATGGATAGAGTTGTTCATGTAACATATTCTGTTGAGCATGAAAATGTTGCCACATACATTCTTCCTACATAAGTAAATGAAAATTTTATGTTATTTTGATTGGCTTTAGTTGTATTTAGAAGAGCCATTAACAAACAATTTATTAATTATTGTTTTTTTATTCACAGATTTTTTAAGTCTTACGGTTTCACCCTCTTCATTTGAACGGGCAATATCTGATGACAATGATAATATTATCAGATATCAATGTAGAGTAAATTGTACATGTGGTGGAGCCAAAGTATTTTGGGAAGGAAATCCTCCGCATTACATTCAGAATGATACTTCAACTGATCCAACTATGCGGGTGTCTACTCTTACCATTAATAGATTGCCGCAACCAGGTACTTACATATTTACATGTGTTATACAACAAAAGACCCTTGGTGAGCTACGCTCAAATGTTTCACTCAAAGTTTTTCCTGAAGCGAAAGTTGATGTGTATCCTGAAGAAATTATACGAAATAGTGGAGAGAATCATACATTTACTTGTATATCTAATAGACATGCCACATTTCATTGGAGTTATGGACAAAATAATGGCATGCTACCACAAGGAACTCTTGTTCAATCAATTAACTCGACTGTGTCACTTCTTAAAATCATCAATGTTCGTAGATCTGTGAATACTGGCACTTATAATTGTCATGCTCTTTATTCCACTGCCGAGGTCAGAACTGATGGTGGAAACCTTGTGGAAAGAGGTAAGTTAATTTTGTTTTTAGTAATAACTTATATTGTCATCACCACTGATTAATGGGAGTAAAGATTACCGTACAGCAGGAAATATTTGCGGGGAATTAAATTTTGTGAGTTAGCGATTCCATTTAAAGCGCAAAATTTAAATCCGCAAAATAATAAAATTCATGCATGACCACAGTAGATAATGCTACAATAACTGTCAAAACCGCAAATATTTAATCCGCAAACCAGGTTATTTTTAAGGATTCGCAAAATTTTTCTCCGCAAAATTAACCAGCTGTACGGTATGTAGTCTTAGCATCTGTCATTCTGTCTGTTACCCCAAACTTTCTGAATGGTTTTTTAATCATTTAACTTTTACTTTGGCTACAAAAATTGCTTTTGTTACTTACTGTTGTATAAGTAGCTTCAAAAGTTATCAATTTTGTGAAATGTAGTACGTTCTTGTGGAAAGTTTTGTGTATTGAGTAATACAAAAAATTATAAAAAAGATAAACTTTAAGTCTCTTTGTGCTTTTTTTCAAAAAAGTAATTGAAACAAAGTCAAGTAGAATTCCGAATGACTGATTATTTGAAGTGACTGTCTGTACCCATATAAACGAAAATACGAAATGAGAATCCTACTCTTGTGATGCAAATTTTGCTTAACATTATCCTCTTTATAGTGCTGAGCAGTATGGCGGTAATATAATTATACTGTATAGTCTGTTTTCTATACCATGAGAAATTTTAAAATAGCAATATAGAATATCATTAATTAGAAACCCACATGTTACAAAATGGCGGATGTTATTACCGTAAACGTAGAAATTTTTGAAGGCTTAATATTTCGACCAGTAGCTGTATGCTGCTAAAATTTTGATTTTCGACCAGATTAAGTTTCAATAAAGGTGTGGGTGTGGTCAACACCTCGTGATATGATATATGATGCATGACACGTGAACAAAAAATGACAGCCTGATATCGACAAGAGATCTCTCAATGGCTGCTAGTTCTAGCTCGACTTTTAGTTACTCTCTATCTTCCATGGTGCGTGGTTATCATGTACATGTATATAAAGACATATGGGGTGCTGAGAAAGGGAAGGACTTGCAGTGTGTTCGAGAGACAAGCAACCATTTCAATCCGTTTGCTGTGGCTATTGTTAAAAACACTATTGGCACAGTTGGGCATGTGCCCAAAAAATCTCTGCCCTGTGTTCACTTTTTATCAGGCGAGTTGGTAGTATTTTATGTACAGTGGATGGTGATAGACAATACTCATGAGACATTCCTCAGGGAGGGCTGGAAATTCCATGCATATTGACTTTCACAGCAAAAGAAAAGTTTTCTATTGATAAGATTGTGACTCTTCTGAAAGGCATTGGAGGTATTACAGCCAGGTTGGCCAGTGGCACACACGAAAGTATTGATACACATGAAGAATCTGAAATTGTTCTCCTCCTTCAAAAGTTTTGTAAACTTGCCACTTGGTATTAGGGACGATGATGAAAGCAAGATGTGGATACGTATTGATGCCAGTCATGGACTAACAATAGTTGAAAATGATATTCTTCAAAAAAGAGTATTAAATGGTTGTGTTATTAATGTTAGCCTAAGAATTATGCAAGATCAATTTCTGTCACTAGTTGGACTTGCATTACCATTGATACTTCCTACTCTCCCACAATCATTTCAAGGATGGAAGGAGAATTTTTTTTAGATATGCCACTTTCAAGGAAGTCACTGCATTACTGTGACAACCAAAGGTTGTAAAAATGAAGAAGTTATGGTATATGACTCAATATGTGATAGTATTGTTTTGACAACTGCATCTACTTTAGAAAGATTGTTTAATGTGAAGTTTATTTACAAAATGGCAGATACACTGAATTAGAAAGGTGTTATTGATTGCGGAGTGTATTTGCCATTGCAAATGCTACTGCTGTTGCATTGTGTGCTGATACTGAAACATCTTTCCTTCTATTTGAGCAGCAGAAAATGCGTGAACACCTGGTCTATTGTTTACAGAATAAATTAAATTGTCAATTCCCTGCACACACAATTTAATATTTAACTAGTGTGCACTGACAATTACTTCATTAAATAGCTAAGATAAATTTAATTATTGAATTATAGAAAAAAGTTTAAATTTAATCAATTTTTAATTACCAGTACATTAAACATAATATTGACTTGTATACAGTTAGCAGTCCTAGTTGATTTTAAGTGCATCAACAATTCCTGCTTTATGAAATACATTTATTAGAATGTCTGGTTTCGATGAGAAGTAATCATGCATCTCTATAACCCACTTGGATACCAAAGGTTTCATGACAGATAGTTTCATGTCAACTGTCTCTGTAGCTCTGCTTTCCAATTGCTGCAAAATTATGTTGGCATACCATTCTTGAAACATTTTCTTCATAAAATCCTTAGCAGGCTTATTTGTACTCAAGTCTAGAGGCTGGAGCCAATCTGTACAATTGGCAGGGACTAGCACATAAAATATGTTGTTATCAGCAATAGAACTGTGGATATATATTGAAAGACCGGTATACCTACTAGTTTTTGTCTTATTTTAGGTATACCGGTTAAAATTAGTGTTGTTTTGGTAGGCTTACTAACTTTAGTATTAGTATTAGTTTTAGTATCCAAAATAAAATAGTTTTAGTTTTAGCAAAATTTAAAAATAATATTAGTTTTAGTATTAGTTTTAGTAACTAAAAGTCGAGTAATATTAGTAATAGTTTTAGTAATAGTTTTAGTATTAGTTTCAGTATTAGTTTTTTTGATTATTAGGAATTCTTTAAAGGATATGTAAATATTTCTTATTTTGCATCAGAATGATATCTCTTTCCAAGTTTACATGTACATCTCAGAGGCGATTACGCTTTCCAGTTGTTGCATCTCCACCTGTTGAAAAGATTTTTTCAACTGGAGCTTTTGAAGCCGGGGTTAAAAGAAGATCAAAAGCAAAATTAGAGAGGATGGGGTATGTTGTTTTGTTGTCACTCCAGAATATAAAAGGATCTTCATCTTCATCTATTGAACCTGTGTAGTCTGATTTGGCATACCTTTCCAGCTCTGTTTCTTCTTCTGATAAAGAAGAACTGCATGATTTTTCTTTAGCCTGTTGCTTTTTCTTCAGTAGTTCCCTTAGATGTTTAAATTTTTTGGCTGAAGGCTCTTGAGTAGTGTGAGGGTTTTGAGTTAAAGTTCCTTGTAATGCTTCTGTCTCATTATTTGTTGTCATCTCCTTTCATTGCTGTGGATTCCTTTGTTTAAGTAAGTTGCTTTTTGCTGCTGCAACCTGCTTGTCATCTAATATCTCTCTGTATGTATGACTGAGATAGGTACACGTGACATAAAGAGGGTCAAAATTAGCCATAGTTGTATTTATTGTAAATCCAAACCTCCTCTCCAGTTCCTTGAGCATGGTAGTTGATATTAGACACAACCCATGGACATTACTCATTGTCTCTAAATGAATGTGTGATTCCATAATGACTGGAATAACCATTGAAATGCTTGTGGTGTCCTCTGAACTTGTGAGTTGTGTGTAATGTGCGAAAGGCTTCAATAGCTCAACTATGCTTTCAATCTGCTTCCAGTGACTATTAGGCAGGTTATCCCATTGAAGCTCTTCTAAAACAGATGACAGCTCAGTTTTCACCAGCAATAGCCTGCATAGCAACAAGTAGGTTGAGCTCCAATGAATAGGACAATCTGAGATCAACTTCTTTTTGCTTAATTCAGTAACTTCTCAGTTGCCTTTGTTCATTTGTTCACCTTAGCAACGAGTTTGTGAGCCCTTTTTATAACTGCTTTTGAAGACTGTAAGGTATCAAATACTCCAACAACTAATTGTAGGGTATGTGCGAAGCAGCTGCTTCGTTTAAAACCAAAGAAGGCAAAATTGTGGCTATCCTCACACTCTTCAAAATTTCCAAGATCATGGTGTATTGAATCAGATTCTTTCTTCTCGCTGTTTTCTCCTGTCCCCTTAGTTTCATTTTCATCATCAGCTTCACTGAGATCATCCATATCAAATGAACTAGCATCATCTTCATTTCCATCTCTTTCTTGTTCTCGAACTTCTTTTCCTGATTCAGCTTGTGTTTTAAAGGCTGCAACCATATTGCTTCCATTATCAGTATATGAACCCTGTGAATTTTGCTCTGTGGTATATTTCATTAGTAACGCGGTAGCGTTACTAACTAAGTAGGATTCACCCCCAAACAAAATGGCTGCCACGACTTTTGCAGCCTTGCTGTATTCTACTAGAATCTCTTGAACAAGATCAGCATTTTGGGATGCAGTGTGAGGAGATGGAAAGTGACGAGCAGCAAGCGTAACATTGTGGCGTTTATGATTTTTAGTTGAAAAGAAATGGACCGTTACACCTAAATATGATGAAGTCATTCCTCTCTTTGTCCATATGTCAGTACATATATTTTTCAGCCTTGCTTTCTCAAGGAGGCTAAATAAGATTTCTTTCAATTTTGACATCACACAACTAACGTCCTTTCCCATTTTTGTACGACCAGGAACTTCATATCGAGAGTCCAATATAGAGACCAGCCTTTTGAATTCATCATTTTCTACCAAACTCAATGGTACATTATTGGAGCCCATGAATATGGCCATTTGCCTTGTGATAGCTTTATGCCTTTCTGAGCTTACACTGTACTTTCTTCCTCCTTCTATTGTGTCTTCCAAACTTCTTTGTGATGTAGTGTAAGTTTTCGACACAGCTTTGGATGATTTCTGTCTCTTGTTCTCTTTATTTTCATTTTTCTGCAATTCATTTTCTTCCAAGTCTTTGAACTGCTCTGGGTGTTTGCTTTTCAAATGCCCCTTTAGATTTGTAAGAAACTTCCACTTAAAAGAAAGGCCACAATGACTACCACTATCCAGCTCCACAAGGCAAACACTTTTATCTTCTTCTTTCATGTACTTGAAATATGTCCATACACAGCTGCTTCTTGGTCTTCCAGCAGCCATCTTATACCCTGTTCACA